TGGTCCCACCAGGTTTCATTATGGTCACGTTATTTATTTTTACCAGCYATTACAATCTTTCAAAGAAATGGTTGTTCATTGAATATGGATTCATGTAAATTCCTGGCACCAACTATGCATTACCTCCTCTAGAACATTCAAATTTGATTTTTGGGATTTTTTTTTTCCCAGTGTGCACATTTCTCTGCCACACCAAAAGAATTTGCTTTCCTACTCCCTGTGGCAGYGTATGCATTTTTCTTTCTGACTAATGTGCGGAATCTGTACCCTGACTTGCACATAAAAACACAGCCAAAACAACCAAAAAGCACTAGCTGAGCACACACATCTTATTTTTATGGTGGTTTTTAATCTCAGTTTGCAGGCAAACACAGCCTTTCTCACCTAGCCRTATAAAAATACTCCTGTTGTTAATTATGCCTCTGATTGCTGCCCTGGTGTAAAGACACAGTAAAACAATCTGACACTGATAGAGTAAAACAGAGTAAAACAATCAGCAATGGCTAATGGTTAAAGCACACTGGAAGTGTTCATTAATTAAAATCTGTTGAATCTCCTTGCAGTCTGTATTTGTGGTGGTTAAATCCATATTTAAGGATCRTTAGAATTGCAGAAGTGTACCTGARGAAAAAAACACCRAAAGTTTTTTAGMAGAGCAWCTTAAAATTTGCYTCTTCTCTCAAAAAAAATGGATTTGGTTYATATGAGGCAACATTAGGTACAAAAAGAAAAAAAAGAAACAGTGATTATGTTGTTGGGCCAGATTATATAAAACTGCAATATTATTGTAATTAGAACAACAGTGGCTCGGACTACAATAGTGGCTTTCTTATAAAAATGGCACCATTTCAAATTTATAGTCTCTGGCTAAATGAGTTTGCTGTAGCATTGACAAAGAAACAAATACAAGCCAAATGCAGTCAAAATTAACCACAAGCAGAAACCTTAGCAGTTTATTTGCTGGGCAGAACCTAGAATGCTGTTTTTCCAACAGTATTTACTTAATAAATGTTCTTTCCTGCATTCTTACAGCTTTCTCAACGCAAAATTTTTATCTTTAAAACTTTAAGCGCATTATGCATGTAAAAAATATTTATGTATGTGTAGTTTGTAACTGCAGTGTCTGTAATGGAGTAAAATCCTGCTTAAATATTGATAATCCAAAGCTTGGGAGAGTTCTGGTGCGGAGGCTGCCTAAATAATRGGGATTCTTGCTGYGAGTTCCTTTTTTTTCTAYTTTATTTTTCAGTGTGAGGAACCTCTCAGATCTCCAGAGGTTTTGATGCCCAGGTTCTGTTTCCTGTGGGATTGGGGTTGGTTCCTCCATGTGAACTCTTAGCACATTTTGGTCCCCCAAAACAGCTGCAGAGGGGACAGGGTTTGCTCCTAAATCTACTGATTGTTGCCAGTGTGAACAGGATARTGTGGTGTGGYTCACACCTGCAGAAGATYTGACTCAAGGCCTAAGGCAAAAAARAAAAAAAAATCAAATTACAGGTGATAAAATTTAAAGCTTAACTAATTTCAGTAGTGGAAGCAATTTCTTTAATTTCTGGCTCATRATGGCTCRTRCCTTCCATAAACAATTTTCATCAGYGAGATTGTTGGGAGCAAATGAGTGGATTTGACAGAGCTGAGGAGTGTGTGATGGTCGGAAATGAAGTGCTGAGTGGCAGACACTGGCTGGGGGAGAAATTGATTTCTAGGAGGCAGGAGAGCATTTCAGTTTTCCATTCCCTTCATTAGTTTTATTAGGTGAGATCATAATCACACTTCAAGTGACCTGTAAGGGAAAGAAAAGGATGATYATTGCCTTTCCCTCTGCTTTTTGTGTGTTTTAACTCTTACCTGTGTATTTTTAATACACATATAGACTTCAGTTGAACTTGGGGCTCTCAATAAGTGATTAAATTAGTTTATATCACAAGAAAAAAAAAATCTTGATAGCTAAGCATCAGGATTGGAAGCAGTGTTAGACATTGATTAAGTCTTTTCATTAGGGTGTGTTCAACTTTAATATCTAATGAACACTTGGGATAAAGAATGTGCTTATCAGAGAATCAGCATATCCATTTAAGTTTGGGGCATCTTGAAATAAATATCTATACAAAGTCTTCAGGAATTCTCGAGTGAAGTAAGATAAGAATAGAAATTATATATCAAATCTTTCTAAACAAGCAATGTAATTATTTCTGAAGGCCTTTGAAATGAGAGCCAGCTAGGAAAATCAAACACAATCTCCAAGAAGTCAACAGTTTTATTTCTTTATTTCCCTTTGTGTATAAAGCATATAATGGAAACAAAATGAAACAGTCCAGATAAAATACTTGTACTGAAATTTTCACTTTGTGACGAGCCTTATCTTATTCCAGCCTTGTCCCATTGTGTGATGTTCTGCACAAACCTCTTCTGTCTTAGGGGATTGCAAACCACAGGTTTTATGGCAGCAGCCACAGGAAGGAGCACATGACCTGCTGCTTCAGCCTGGGTGCAGCTGGAGAGAGCTCTGAGCCTGAATTCAGGGGGTGGGATGGGATGGGATGAGTTCGATGGGATGAGTTCCATGGGATGGGATCCATGGGATGGGATGGGATGAGTTCCATGGGATGGGATGGTGGGGCTGCAACCTGGGTTCCAGAGAGGAGAGCTGCTGGGCTGAGGGGTGATTTTGGGAGCAGCAGAACAGAGCCCTGTAACAGATGTGAACTGCTAAAGGCAAACCAGCAGAACTCAGACATGAGACAATCCTGCTGGCCACAGCTTCTCACGCCCTGTGACCCCTCAGGGTGAGCCACAGAGGGGCCTTTTGTCCCTCTCCTCCTGCCACACCCAAACCAAGTTTCCTCTCAACCTCCTTGTCCTTGTTCCCTGTTTCACTCCTTTCCTGCAGCCATGCCTTGGCCCCTGAGTGTGCCCCAGGGCTCTGCCCTGTTCCTGCTCAGATCCTGCTGTGTGAAGGAGGGTTATCCACTGAGGAGATTCCCTGGAATGCCGCCCTGGCCCAGGGCTGGCACCACGCGTGTCACCCGTGATCCTGACTGAACCCCTCAGCGCTGTCAGGGTGGGCTGTGGGTCTGCCTCTTGCATTGCTCAGACAGTGCATTTCTGATYTAATTCCTTACAAACCAACCACCAAGCTGAGGATAAAGTCCATTTCTCACACCCAGTGACAGGTTAAAACCGATTCTATTAAAGGTTGGTTGTGAGATCACCTTTCAGCATCAAATGCAGTTAARCTTCAAAACATGAACAGTTTGTGTGTTTATAAAACAGGCTCAGCAAAAGTCTATCACAGAAGTAGGTGACACAATATTTAATATTCCTTTTCCATGGGATATTCCCCAGCTGMAGGACTCCTCTGGGCCCTGCTGGGCAGAGGGGAGATGCTGCAGGGACACTTTCCCTCTAAATGGACCATGGTGGGGCTCACACTGATCTGCCTCCCTTTGCTGGCATTCTCCCTGWGAGAATGGGTCAATTTACACCAAAAATAAATGACCAACACAAGCCAAAGCCATTTTTTTTCTCTAGTGAGATGTATTTCTGTAACCCCCCACTGCCTTCCCTGGGAATGATCCCATTATTTCCACACAGTAAACCTGCCACCACTTCAGTCCCAGCAGTTCTCGTGCTCCCCAGGAGAGGTGCCCTCCATCCTCCCAAATCCTGCCCTCCCCAGTCCCAGCCCACATCTTGCTTTTTGTTTGAAGTGGCCAGGTGGGAAAGAGTGAAATGGCAGCTGTTGGGTCATATAAAAATTAGATCTAAGCAAGCAAACATTCCTGTAAACAATTTTCTTGTACTGTAACCCACAGAACTGCCCTGGAGAGGGAAAGAGGAAAAGGGAACACAGGGCAAGGACCAAGGACGTGCCAAAGGGATCTCCTTCCCTTCCCTGCTCCTGTCCTGAAGGGCCATGGGGTTAGGATTCAGCAGCACACMAAGGGGGAGAGGGAACAGGAGGATATTTTATAGACATACCCAAAAAGGGGCATTTTTGGTGGTTGCTGTAATTATTTTCTGTTCTGAACATAACTCAGCCCTTAACCTTTTCCCTGCTCTTGCWTTCTCCCCCTCTCTAGATACTGTCTGTATCGTTAGCCTAATTAATGCCATCATACTTTTATGTCAGCCAAAAAAAAAAAGTCTCTGCAGCAACCTTAACGCAACCAACTGAATTTCATTCCCTTCTACTTCTTACAGAAATGGCAAGTACTATGTTGTCTAAGAAATAAAAAGGGTAATTTCCTTATTTTTCCTTTCCTATTTATTTTTGTCAGAGTATGGAATTTATAACTCTGGCTGAACAATGGCCCCCTGAGTGGCAGAGATTCATTTCAGAGACAATAGTTGTTGTCCCAGCTCTGTCACTGTGGCCACATCAAATCATTATCATGGCTGCAAGCCAAGGAAGAAAAAAAAGAACCCTTTTTATTATCGTTTTTCTATCTGGTCTCTTCAACTTGGCAAGGTTCTTTTAAATGTGAATTTGCAAGTCTTAAATGCAACATATTATTTGTATTATTAACCTTGTGTTTTGTGTTCCTTTGACATGATTCCTTTCCAAATGCTTGAAGTCTGCACAGATCCATCAGGTAGCTTTTAATGCATTCTACAAAGAAACTTTATATAATACAGATACTAAAAGGGCTTTTATTTTACCCAGGAATTCAGGCTGCTGGCATGTAAATGTTTTGTTTCTGTTCCATGAGTATTATTTTAACTTGTTACTGATATTTTTTCTTCTCTTATTATTGTAACACAGCCCACAAGGAAATGAATTTTTGTTTCAAATCAGTTTTTTGATTGTGGTATGCCAATTTCTGGTGAGTGCAAACATTAATTGTGTGTATTCTTTGAATGTAGGCACCTTTGTGACTAAAGTGACAGCTACAGACGCGGATGATCCGGTGTATGGGAACAGTGCCAAGCTGGTGTACAGCATCCTGGAGGGACAGCCCTACTTCTCCATTGAGCCACACACAGGTGGGTCACTGGGAATGGCAGTCCCNCAAAGGGGGAGAGGGAACAGGAGGATATTTTATAGACATACCCAAAAAGGGGCATTTTTGGTGGTTGCTGTAATTATTTTCTGTTCTGAACATAACTCAGCCCTTAACCTTTTCCCTGCTCTTGCATTCTCCCCCTCTCTAGATACTGTCTGTATCGTTAGCCTAATTAATGCCATCATACTTTTATGTCAGCCAAAAAAAAAAAAAAAGTCTCTGCAGCAACCTTAACGCAACCAACTGTATTTCATTCCCTTCTACTTCTTACAGAAATGGCAAGTACTATGTTGTCTAAGAAATAAAAAGGGTAATTTCCTTATTTTTCCTTTCCTATTTATTTTTGTCAGAGTATGGAATTTATAACTCTGGCTGAACAATGGCCCCCTGAGTGGCAGAGATTCATTTCAGAGACAATAGTTGTTGTCCCAGCTCTGTCACTGTGGCCACATCAAATCATTATCATGGCTGCAAGCCAAGGAAGAAAAAAAAGAACCCTTTTTATTATCGTTTTTCTATCTGGTCTCTTCAACTTGGCAAGGTTCTTTTAAATGTGAATTTGCAAGTCTTAAATGCAACATATTATTTGTATTATTAACCTTGTGTTTTGTGTTCCTTTGACATGATTCCTTTCCAAATGCTTGAAGTCTGCACAGATCCATCAGGTAGCTTTTAATGCATTCTACAAAGAAACTTTATATAATACAGATACTAAAAGGGCTTTTATTTTACCCAGGAATTCAGGCTGCTGGCATGTAAATGTTTTGTTTCTGTTCCATGAGTATTATTTTAACTTGTTACTGATATTTTTTCTTCTCTTATTATTGTAACACAGCCCACAAGGAAATGAATTTTTGTTTCAAATCAGTTTTTTGATTGTGGTATGCCAATTTCTGGTGAGTGCAAACATTAATTGTGTGTATTCTTTGAATGTAGGCACCTTTGTGACTAAAGTGACAGCTACAGACGCGGATGATCCGGTGTATGGGAACAGTGCCAAGCTGGTGTACAGCATCCTGGAGGGACAGCCCTACTTCTCCATTGAGCCACACACAGGTGGGTCACTGGGAATGGCAGTCCCATTTCCATTAGGAAGTGGCCTCAGGCTGCTCCTGGGGAGGTTTGGTTGGGTTTGGGAGAAATTCCTTCATGGGAAGGGCTGCCCAGAGCAGTGGGGAGGGGTTGAAGCTGTGTGGTTGTGGCACTTGGGGACATGGACAGGGTGACAGGGGACACCCCTTGGCAGGGCTGGGGACTGGCTGGGCTCTGCTGTACTATGGCCAGTTAAAGGAAGTTCACTTTAACTGGGGAATTCCAGTAAACAAATCCCATGTTTTCATTAAAAATTATTTGTTGTATTAATTTGGGGAGAGAAAGAGCATCGAGAGTGAGTGTTGGTGTGAAGTTTTATTAGCAGGCATTTAGGSTGACTTTACTTCTCTGTGGTTTTATAGTCTTGAAAGTCATCTGAAAGCAGTGCCAAAAAATCCATTCCCTCTTGTTTTCTATGTTGTACTTACAGAAAATTCAGTTAGTTATGTTTGAAAAACAAGTTTTAAGGTGATTGAATATTATTTCTGATATTATTTCATCTGTTATTATTTATCACTGTGAGTGAAAGAGACATGATCTCCTAAGAARAAAACTAAAACTCTTTTCAAAACATACAAATGCACACATTTATTTGTATGACCACAAAGCAGTAATACGGGAGTAAAAAAATTTGTCCTTATGCACATTTACAAAATTTATTTATACAAGAAATACTCAGAGAAATTATTAAAGGAGGATTTTGATACTAAGTGTACTAAGAATATCATGTTTTCTCACCAAAATTAAACACAGCAGTCCTGTAATCTTTAAAAGCTGAAATTTCTTTCAATCTTTCTGATGAAATTGCATGGAAAAAATA